GCCGACACGCATGGTTTACTTGGGCAAATACAGCATTGTGTTAGGGAGAGAGAGAGAGAAGTGGGAAAATGAGGAAGTATCTCATTAGAATGATTTATTTTATCTTATCAATCTATCAGTCTCTTGGTCAAGAGTAACATCTTGATGAGTATACCATTTAAGGCTTGAGGGAAAGTTGGGAGTTTAGAGTTTTGCATAGCATCTTCATGTGGACTCCGAGAGAAATGAGGCCAACGAGCACCCGGGAGGAGATTGCCCAAAGTGGAGCGAAGAGCTGAGATATCAAAGACAAATTTAGATATTTCACAATTCTGTTTAAGACCAGGTTAGGAAGTAGAGCATATAATAGCTGGAGGGATATCCTTTCAATTCCCCTTCTCTACCATTTTAGTTCCTGGATAACCCTAACAGTAATAAACGTTCAGTAATTCATGAAATAACATTCGTGATGAAGGCCAAGTAGATTTATGACCAGAGGGAGATACATTTGCAGAAACAGAAGTAATGAATAATTCTATGACTTTATTGAGACTATTCTGTAAGAGGTAAAGCAGTGTTTCTCAAAATCTTGTGTATAGACCACCTGTATGAGTCACCACTGGTGCTTGTTAAAATGTCCATCCCTGGTCCCCACCAGACCTTTTGAAAGATGTTCTGAGGTAGGGGCCAGGGACTCTGCATTTTAACAGCCATGTCTGCTGATTTTTATGCACACTATTTGAGAATCATTGGTTAGAGGCTTCAGCAGATCATAGAATCAAAAAATATGGGTCCTAAAGGTAAGTAAATCAAGGTTCAAATCTTAGCGTTGCCACTTAGGTGTTTTGTGACCTTGGACAAGTCTCTTAACCCTCTCGCTCTCAGTTTGCACCTAATAACAGTGCCAACTTCACAAGGTTATTATGTGAGATCTGAGGAGGGAAGTCTTGTAAAGTTTAGCACAGCACCTGGCACATAGTAAGGGTAAAAGTGATAACCATTATTATGATGAGTACGCATATTGAAAAATACTCTTAGGCAATGCTTACTGATATTAAGTGTTTTGTTAACTATGTACTTTGTAAAAAGATAAATTTAAAATTCTGTTTCAATACATGGCAAAGCCAATTGGTTTCCTAATTACCATTACCTAAAGTTTCTCTGTTGCTCTATCTTTATCTTTTCTGGCTCCTCATACACAGCTAGCAGCAAGAGAGTCGGGTGGAAAAATCTTGTAATAAATATTCAGAAATATCTTGCATAAATCATGGTATCTAGCAGTGGAAGAATTGGGTGACTGAGTATGGTCCACTTTGGAATATTTTGCATAATCTTACTAGAACAAACCACCTGGTTTCTTTTCCAGCTGTTGCTTTCCTTTATTCTCTTATATCTTTATCCCTTACTTCCTGCCTTTTGCTCTCTCTTCTTGGTTAACAAAGTGCCTACATTTTCTATTTTTTCCTATTTCTTTGCGTCTCCCTGGTGTGATTCCTTTTCATTTGTCTTGCAAGCAGAATTGCTCTATACAGCAAAAGCTAGAGCTGAGAGAATTGGAATGCTGTAGAATTTCATTCAGGGCCATTATTGGTAAATGCAAAAGTGGATCTTACGCCTAAATAGAGCTCAGAAAACCAGACCAAGAGGAAGAGAGCAAAGGTAAAAAATGGACTCTTACTATTTCATCTTAGTATAAATTGTGGTAAGTAGTGTTACTCTAATGGCAATGTAACAATGAGAAAGCCAGTAGAAAATTATGTAATTGCAGAGCGGAATAATAGAATACCTTATAATTTGGAGAAGGAGAACGGGGAGAAATACTGATCTTCAGTGCTCTTCCCTCAACTACTATCTAAAAGAAAAAGCCAAGGAGGAAAATGGTGCAGTTGCCATCACCTCACATGGAGTCCTTTCTCAATGCCAGAATCCCCTTTTAGTGGTTGAAATAGGAACTCTGCAAATTGGAATGCTTGGGTTCAAATCCAGTCTCCACAATTAACAGCTGAGTGTCCTTGGAGAATTCGGTCTCGCTGTGTCTCAGTTTCCCCATCTGGGAAATGGAGATAATAATGACGCACACTTCAGGGGTGCTTAGGAGGGTCAAACGAGATTCATCCACGTAAAGTACTTAGAAAAGTGCCTATCTTGTAGTAAACTCTTAACTATTGATTGCTATTGATATTATTATCTTTCTTAATTTTCATTCACCAAGTTTGAAGTCCTTGATGGTGTCCTGGCTGAGAAGGAGGTGTCCAGAGAGTTTTTGGGCAAATCGTTGATGAAAATTTGCTGATAGTGATTATTTTCCTTTCTGGGAAGCACGCTTCCCTGCCTGACTGTTGTTCCCCTTTATTTGGATAGGTGAGCTATGATTTGATCATTCCTAATAAATCTTGGATATTCTTCAATTTATAAATTAATTCATTACTAATAATCACACTTTGGAACATGGTCACCCACCTGTGACTCCATATTAAGAAACCAAAGATGTATTAAGACTCTCTTTGTATAGAACATGCATCTCACATTTTGAAAATATCTATTTGTCCGAGTACAGACTTCTTTCTTTCTCATGACTAACATTCTGCTTTGTTGTTGTTGTTGTTATTCAGCATATATGAGCTGACTGATAATAAATCCGGGAATTTGTCATTTAAAAAGCTGCAGGCCTCAAACACAGTCAGTAATGCTCAAAAAGTAGAGAAGTGATTAACTCCCTTTGGTAAAAGTGTAGAAAAGCAGGGACAAGGGCATCATTTTTCAGAAGGTAATCTCAGACCAACCGTTCTCTGAGAGACTTCAGAAAACATCAGTCATGTAAGACACAGCCCTTTGCTTCTATTCCTTTTTATCATACCAATCTCCCTTGTAAAATTCACGTTGTTCATAAATATTTTCCTTCTAAACTGTGGGAAATAAGTCTTGAGTAACTTTGGCTCTTTGATAAAGTTAAGTTAGGGGACTGCTTATCATTGAAACAATGAACACAAAAGCAATTCAGTCTGGGACCTCTGACAAAACTCAGCAGCGGAGGCTGTGCTCAGGCTCCTTGTTCTCAGGCGTTCAGGGGAGTGGCAAAGGGGCAGACAGCACAAGGAATTTTCAAGGTTCTTTTTCCCACCCTTCAGAGTTGATAAGTCTCTAGTCATTCAGAAAAGGATTTGTTTTGCAAGAACTCAAAGCGTCCCAAAGAACTATGTTTACCCATAATAGGCCTTGCTTTCTGTTTAATATAGCCAGATGGACACTGCTTTTTGGACTCGTGGTCACTTCCCCACAGATTTGACCTCATTTAGCGGACACTATTAAAAGATCATCCTGTTATTGAGAATTTCCATTGCATCAAATACTAAATATTAGTAACATTCCTCTATGGAGAAAGTGATGTAATAAGAAGGCATAGACTGGGTTGGCCTCAGAAATAATACAGATGCATATGTGGAGATTATGCAACTAATCAGCTGACTCATAAAGCCCAGAGGTATAAGGAGCAAAGCTCTGGGGGCAGAGACTTTCCCACCAGCTCTTGAAGGAAGTGTTCAGGTTCATATGAAGCCATAGATGGAAGTTTTATTTGACCTGTTGCCTTGGTACCGAGATGTTATTTTGAAAGATGCCAAGAAGGAGAAAGTGTATATAGAAGTGTGGCAGAATGATGGAATGATGCAATGGGAATGGGGTCACGAGGCAGCTAGCTCCCACTCCATGTTGTTGTTTACTTTTTACTTTTACAAATGGGGAACACAGGGTTTCTTTCACGTCTTTCCTTTTTTTTTTTCACTTTGGAATCCAAACGATGCTCATAAGAAATTAAAACTGCAGTGGAAGGGCTGCAAGTGTTTTGAGAATCAAGACGTTAAGAAATGATGATAACAATGACCTATTTTTTGGAAGGTTGCCAAGAAAAGGTTTTGAAAGAGCAGTTAAGGAAGAAGATTCTGGTCAAAGAGGACTGGGAAGACACATAAGGGTCCCACGATTTGGTAACCTAGCTAAAATTAAACTTTTAGTTATGTTTTTGCTTGAACATACTTTAAAGTCAATTGGTTAAATGTTCATTATTTTAAAAAATAGGTTACAAAAGTAGTATATGCTCAATGAAAGAAAGTCAAGCAATACAGATATATGCAGAATTAAAGGGAAGATCTCGCTCCTTCTTTCCCCTACAGGGGCAAATACTACTGTACTCTAGCTTTCAGACCTTTTAAAACACTGTACATATTATAAATGTGTTTTGGGGTTGGGGGCTAATAATATATATATTGTTTTGCATTTTTTTTTCATTTACTAATATGTTATGGACATCTGTCTACTTTTTTAAAAAGCAGACATTATTTGTATCCTTCTTTTTAAAAGGTAATAGTAATATTAAATAAAGTAAAATTGGAAAGAAGGCAACTTGGCAATTCTGAAACTTAAGAAAATCCTGTATTTGATGTATTTCAGATGTTTTTCTTGGTATAACATACTTACCCACATATCTTATAAGTTGCTTGTAAATGATACCCTACTAGATAGTGTTCCACCTACCAGGATAAGATAGGAGTAGGTAAGAAGCTGAGAGACATGCTACAGGTGATAAAAGCAGATTTCCTAAGAGTATGTAGTATAATTCCAGTTCTATAAAAGGTAAGTATATGCATGGAAAACAGTCTAAGCAGCATAGACACTAAAACGTTAACAGCTGTTATCATAGGACGGCTGGAATATAGGTATTTTTTCCCATTACACTTTTCTGTATTTTCAACAATGAACATTTATTACTTTCTAAATTAGTTGAAAAGTAAATGTAATCTAAAAAATGCAATGCACCTGATGAAAAAAGTTCATGTCCAAAAGCTACAGAAACAAAACCCGTCTGAATTAGCTTCTACCCCATCCCCAAACCCCAGAGTAACAGAGTGGAAATAGCAGGCCCTTGTTTGATTTTCTTAATTTGAGGAATTAGATTTGAGTTCCCTCATTAAGAGAAGGTAACCTTTAGCATCATTGAAAGAGTTGATCAGGAAATGAGACAAAAATCAGGAGGTCGCATTCCTTTATTACATATATGAAATATAAAAAAATTAACAGAGCAATATATATATATCTTTCGCAAGTCCACAGGACCTCAGGAAAAAAATGTGTTCTGTATGTGAAGTCAATCTTATGGCACGGTGGTTCCTGTTTTGTATATTCAAGTACAGAAGAACCTGTGTTTATAGTGGTTATGCATGGGTAAAGAAGATGAATAATACCAAAAACCTGTAATTTGGTGAACTATCAAATATATTGTGTAAAAAAATGAGTAAATATAATGACCATATACTGTTAATAAAGACAAGGAGGAAACTGTTTCAATATTCAGGTTTAAATACTAAACACAAAAATAAAACAAATTCTGTGTCTACAATAATTTTTGAAGTGTACACAAGTGCATTGCAAATAAGTGAGCTTTTTAAAATTTAAAGTCCATTTCATCTTTATCAAAGCATATTTCTACACTTATGATTTCTTTCTCTTATTTTAAAGTCTCTTCTTGTTTAGATTTTTTTAAAAAGTTTCATCTTGGCCAGTATCTCTGGAATCTAACCTCTAGCCTGAAGCTGAGACTTCATGCAAACATATTCTCCTTTAAGGTTGCATCTTCACATAGCTTCTCCAAGCGTTCAGAGTTAAATAGTAGGACTTCCTTTATGCGGTCACTTTTGTCCACACGTAGTGGCAGTGCTTCTGTTTCAGTAGGTTTTCTTACACACCTTTTCTTTTCTTTCTGTCAACTGCAGTCTCCAAACTTTCACAACACAAGTGGTGGGCAGTAAAGTGCTTTATACAAGGAAATACTATTTACATGTGGAAAGGGTCCATTTAACACCCAACAGACCAAAGTTCGCGCACATCACGCAAGAGAAGGCTCTTTTTAAGAAATACCTTTTCTGATAGTAGGGTTGGGGGTTCCTTAAAAATCTCATTAATTACTTTAAGTAGCACAAATGTAAGTAACATATCTGAAGCTGAGGGAATCCTTGTTAGATGTATTGCCCTTAATGGATTACTGCTAAATATTATACTGCTATTAAAATATTCTTAATAGTTATGAATTTCAGAATCAGTCCCATAGAAAACAGGTATCAGCTTCGGATTTTTCATTCCTCTTTATGAAACAGATTGTATTTAAACATGGGCCCAAAACAGATAGGCTAGACAAGGCCCATGCATTGGAACATTTCTATACATTTTGGCACTTAAAAAGAATTCCAGTTTCATTTTTGAGGTCTCTTTTCCATTCAGTTTGTGTTTTGTACACAGAGAAGTGCCATTATGTGCTATCCACCTTTATCGATACTTGCATTCTCTTTTTAAAATATCCATGACTTTTCTTCCAAGAGAAGGTTTCCAGTGCTGGACAAAACTTTTCATATTCACGACTAGTTTGCCTGTTCTTACATCCTCATGTCCTGCTACCAGGTACTCCAAACCTAAAAGAGAACAAAATTAGGGGCTGTATAGTATCATAATTCATGGAAGGCTGCAGCAGTTTCGCGTATTCGTGGCTGAGACAGGGAGTCGCTGGCAATAAGAGCTGACATTCAACATGCATTTACTATGTGCTGAGTGCTTGACGTGTATTAGCTCTTTTACTCTTGAAAGTAACCCTATGCAGTAGGGGTTATTTTTCTTCTTCTTTTCCACATGAGGACACTGAGGCCCAGAAAGATTAAGAGACTTGCTCGGTGTCTCCCAGGAAGGAGCAGTGCTGACTTCCGCTCAGGTCTGCCTGTCTGTAGAACTTTTACTTGGCACAACGCCACCCTTCACGGGAAAGAAGCGAGGCTTCTGCGGGCGCTTAGCATGAGGCTATAAGTCAGTATTTCTTGGAGATTCACTATGTATGGTAGCGTATGTTAAGAAGGTTTTATAAAAGTGAAACAACCAGTTGGGAAAACACCTTGAAAGAGAGCCTTCGATTATACAAAATAACACATATTTCTATGTAAAGTCAAAGCGTTTTTGGAATATAGGATGCTTGTTTGTCATACACTAAAAAAATAATGATGAAGGGCTGGCCCAGTGGCATAGCGATTAAATTTGCTCGCTCTGCTTCAGTGGCCTGGGGTTCACTGGTTTGGATCCTGGGCATGGACCTAGCATTGCTTATCAAGCCATGCTGTGGCAGGCGAGCCACATATAAAATAGAGGAAGATGAGCACGGATGTTAGCTCAGGCCAATCTTCCTCAGCAAAAAGAGGAGGATTGGCAGTAGACGTTAGCTCAGGGCCAATCTTCCCAAAAATAAATAAGTAAATAAATAAATGAATAAATAATGGTGAGAACTGACCAGAACCTGGGGCTGACTTTGTAATTCAAAATTCTTTTCAGGTTTCAAATAAAAAATTTTGGCTAACAAACAATGAAAGGACAGTCTGATTATCTATACATTAATAAAAAGAAATATAATAATCTCCCTCAGGAGATGCTTGTAGTAATATCAATTATTGGTATTTTGAAACAATTTTCTTTAATATTATAGGATAGAGCAAATAAGAAATTACATTTATAAAAGAAAAGTTTCCAGGGGCTGGCCTTGTGGCCAAGTGGTTAAGTTGGTGCACTCCGCTTTGGTGGCCCAGGGTTTCGTCAGTTTGGATCCTGGGCATGGACCTAGTACCACTCATCAAGCCATGCTGAGGCAGCATCCCACACAGCAGAATTACACAGACCTATGACTAGTATATACAATTATGTACGGGGGTGCTTTGGGGAGAAGAAGAACAAAAAAAATATTGGCAACAGATGTTAGGGCCAATCTTTAAAAAAAAAAAAGTTTCCAATATAAGGTGAAGAGACATATACTTTAAAACTCAAATTAAGGGAAAACACTAGATGTTAGGATTCAATTGAAAATGTTAATTTAAACTCATAGCTTAATACACATATTCTTATTCATTCACTGAAATGACCTAGAAAAAATGTCATCCCAGTAGTAATGAACACCTATAACAAACATCCTGTGGTCTCTAAAGCAGGTGTCACTAAAAACAAAACAAAACAAGGTTTCTTGGAGAATGGCTTATTTTGGGTCCAGGGCAGGAAGATACAAGGCAGGCATAGGACATCTTATTGTGCTAAAAAGCAAGAAAGCTTCCACAAATTAATGGGGATCCTTTTAGAAGGACACAGGAGCTAGCAAGAAGGGGTTTTAACTTGTCAAAGTTGTGATAATTTGAGCACCAAGAAGCATAATTGTGCGTATTGAAACACACTGAGTCAACAAAAATCCATAATTCCAAAATGACAAATAATTCTCGTAATTCTGAAAGAAAAATCAAGAGAAAAATTAATTCGTCATCTTTTGAGGCAGCTATTAAAACCATTCCTCACTTGGAAAATTCGAAACCGAAGAGAAAGAACTTAGCGTTTATCCTGCCTTGACAATAGGAACGGCATTTCATGGTAACCTAAGAGCCTGGCTTGGGAGAGAAAGTCCCCTTACAGAAGAATGTCAGCTAAGAAGTGAAGAGAATTAAGATGGAATTAAAAAAAATCACTTTTCAAACTCTAATGAAATTATTGATTCAGGAAGGGATTACCAATTGGTGACAAAATCATTAAATGAACGGGTAATGGGAAACTGGATGTTCGTACAGTGACCGACACCACACTCATTATTTTCTAGTCTCAAATGGGAAGACAAAGCTGCCCAACGGAGAGATCAGATCATCATCGCTCTAACCCAAAGGTCAAATTTAGCAACACTGAGGGTGAGTCATCTGGGTACCACGTGTCTTCCGATGTGATTCAACACGAGGTACCCAGCAATATCTATAATGAAGCCTAACCAAACTGTGTACCTTGAACCAATCCAGTTTTTTCTTTAGAGATGGCAGGAAATATAGAAAGTACAGGGACAAGCTAAATGACACCACGAGGAACCGATTAGATAAATATAGAAAGTAGGATCGTCTATTGGCCACCTGGCCTGGATTCCTCAACAGTAATAATTACTCCAGTAACAATAAAAAAGGAGCTGTGCTCGAATAAAACAGACTTGAGGGACTTGAAAACTAGACACACTGTGTGATCCTGGATTGAATACTGGCAAGGACAAACCAGCTCTAAGAGACATTTTGGGATCAGTTGGGAAATTGGAATATGGTCTGAGTGTTAAACTATATGAAAATAAACTAAAATTGAAGGTAAAGATCATTAACTGAATAAAGTGGGCTGCAGAATGAAGCATGTACTATGATTTCATTTTGGTTAAAAAAATACAATATATCCATGCACAGAGAAAGATCTGGAAGGATTTGCACTAAGATGGTAACAAAGATGATCTCTGAGGGGTAGAAATGTGAAATTTAAAATTTTCTCCTAAATTTCTAAAGTGTACATGTATTGCTTCTATAGCAATAAAACGGTTATTTAAAATGTTGTTAAAAGGAATCAATCCTAAACTTAAAAATAGCTATGACGATGTTTTAAAAAAAGAGAGAAATAAAAGGAAAATAATGGCATAGAGAGGTTTCAAACACTAGAGGGCACAAATATAAGATGGATTATGAGCTATTTAAATTCTTTAAAGGGTCTCCTTAGCTGCTGCATGAAAAAGAATCCCAATAGTTAATTAACAGACTAGTTAAAAGACAATGGTTGTAAGATTGTTTGTATTATTTCTAAAATAAAAACCTCATTTAAAAAATACAATAGGGGCTGGCCTGGTGGTGCACTGGTCAAGTTCACGTGTTCTGCTTCGGCAGCCCAGGGTTCACTGGTTCGGATCCCACGTGTGGACACGGCACCACTTGGCAAGCCATGCTGTGGCAGGCGTCCCACATAGAAAGTAGAGGAAGATGGGCACAGATGTGAGCTCAAGGCCAGTCTTCCTCAGCAAAAAGAGGGAGATTGGCAGCAGATGTTAGTTCAGGGCTAATCTTCCTCAAAAAATAAATAAATAAATAAAAAATAAAATATCCCATAAAAAATACAATAAATGATTTTTAGGAAACTTCAGTGTTAAGTCTAGTATTTTAAATGAATTTACTTTGAAATTATAAATAGAACAAATACTATAAGAGTCTGGCATTGATTTAAAACATAAATATAACTTCAATTAACAAAAATGATACTGAATAAATCCATAAATTATGGAACAGCATCATGCCAAAAATTAGCGTGGAAAAGTGTTATCTGTTGCATCCCTTATTAGCATTTACATTTTATTTTCCTATCTCTATGATTTTGACATCTACTTTGCTCCATGTTTGAGGGCACAAGTTTATTTAAAAAAATTTTTTTTTGAGGAAGATTAGCCCTGAGCTAACATCTGCTGCTAATCCTCCTCTTTTTACTGAGGAAGACTGGCTCTGAGGAAACATCTGTGCCCATCTTCCTCTACTTTCTATATGGGATGCCTACCACAGCATGGTGTGTCAAGCGGTGCCATGTCTGCACCCGGGATCCAAACTGGCAAACCCCAGGCTGCTGAAGTGGAATGTGTGAACTTAACCGCTGCACCACCAGGCTGGCCCCTATTTTTAAATTTTTTAATTATTTATTAATTTGGTGAGGAAGATTGGCTCTGAGCTAACATCCTTTGCCAATCTTCCTCTTTTTTCTTTCTCTCCCCAAAGCCCCAGTACATAGTTGTATATCCTAGTTGTAAGTCATTCTAGTTCTTCTATGTGGGATGCCGCCACAGCATGGCTCGATGAGCTGTGTGTAGATCTGCGCCCAAGATCTGAACCAGCAAACCCTGGGCTGCTGAAGTGGAGTGTGTGAACTTAACCACTCAGCAACAGGGCCAGCCCCACAAAGTTTATTTTGCATCCATAGAAAAAGAAATATAGTTCTTTTTTTTTTTTTTTTGCTGAGGAAGATTCACTCTGAGCTAACATCTATTGCCAACCTTCCACTTTTTGCTTGAGGAGGATTCACCCTAAGCTAACATCTGTGTCAGGCTTCCTCTCTTTTGTATGTGGGTCACCACCACAGCATGGCTGCTGACAAGTTGTGTAGGTCTGCACCTAGGAACTGAACCCCGGTCACCAAAGCAGAGTCTGCCAAACTTAACCACTAGGTCATGGGGCTGGTCTCTATAATTCTTTAGTGCTAGTCTTGATATTCTAAAATACATGATTGATAAATGAATAAAAGTATGTATGAATGTTGGAATGAAATTGCAAGGATGCCAATTCGATTGCTCCCTTTCAAAAGTAGCAAAGGAAACAAGTTGGTGTGTAAGGTTTCAGAATTTTCTTATCAGCTTTCTTTGGCCTCAGCTACTAAACTTGTAAAAATGGAAAAACAAAGTAAAATGAAACAGTGTCTGGTTTTGCTTTGGCAGGTTCCAATCTTTTCTTCAAAGCGAGTAAACATGTTTTCAAGAATTCTTTGAATAATTGCGCTTATGTTTTCAATTGTGATGAACTCAGTTGATTCTTTGACTCTGTTGGCAGAAACCTGATTAGGAAGTACAGTTCACTTCCTGGAGGGTAGCTCAGATGGTCAAAGCTTTCGTTTTTAATGTCTTACTAAAAAACTGAGCGGATTTATTTTTTTTTTATTCTTTTGCCAAGATAGTAGAAAGTGCTTATAGGAAGAGCCCCTACACACAGATCATTGGGAAATAGAACTTAAATTTAATGTCTCTTTGTTTCCTGTATTCAAAATTCAAGATTCTGATGACTTCATCTGTTCTTTGGAATACTATGTATTCATTATTTAAAATGTCTTTTTTTCTTTTTCTTTATTAAAATTTAAATTAATTAAGATAAAATACTGAAGGGGTATGTAAGGGTGTGAGAGATCAGCTAGCAGTAGAAATAAAGTCAAGAGTTTTATGTCACTATTTAGATTGTTTAGGTTGGGGGGATATGTTATTGATAGTTTTTATCTGTCTCTCTTTCTATCAGTTATCTGTTTGTTTCTCTTAAATTTATTAATCGAAGACCACAAACGACTTCTTATTAACATAACTGTGGTTCCCTGGATTTATATTTGGCAGGAATTAGATTCAGAACATAAATTATAGATCTGTTTCAACAATGCCATTAAGACACAGATGACAACTACATGAACAGGGGAATACAGAGGACTTAAAAAAAATTATTAGTTTGTTTTACTAGAACTTACCGTCTGGGCACTATGTTATTATTATTTGGATACTAATGGTAGGTACTGGAGATACCATGATCAGAAATCTAAATCCCATCCTCAAATTTTGTGAGAGAGATAGAGGAAAAGCAGCTTATGACAGTGTGAAGAGTGCAGCTGTAGAGTGTAGAGGTAAGAATCTCGTGCTTGCTTGTCTCTACCTCTGCCATTATGTTTTAAGGCGCAATTTCCCTCCATTCCAAGCTTCTCTTCAGATTCTACAGTGTTTTTGGTTAACTTCTGCTGTTTCTAATTTGAAAGCAGGATGATCATTTAATGAAAAACAAGATGATGAGAACTCGAGCGTTGTTTTCTTTCCAGGAGAAACAGATGCCTCTCATGCAATAGTAAAAATGAATTCAATATTATTTGCACAGATGGAATTTTGCATTTGAACTTCCTTTGGGAGCAAGGTCTACCCGGGGCACCGTAATAGGACCTAGCTTTCAGATCAAATGTTGGTGGCAGATAAATTCATGGAAGTGCTTTCTATCCTACTGGCAGCTGGAATCAATCTGAGACTTCTCTTTTAGAAGAACATTATAGAGATATTTTAGAGAATATTATATTGCTGGATTTTAAAATATTTTACTTTTATAGAGCACATGGAAGAGAAATAATTTTTTGATGTCAGTTCAAAGAATTCCATCTGGATTTTCCCCAGAATTCAGATGGTGAAAAGGAGAGATGCTATTGCTGAGTTTATTTAGGTCGTGGTTCAGAGAATGCGAGACAAGCAGCAAACCAGAGATAAAGGAGTTATTAAGCTAGAAAAGTCTAATGCTCACCAGGATTGAGGATCGGACAAGTGCAGCCTCTGTTAGTCCAAGACTCTGGATATAATGTTCGCTTTCCTCGTAAAATTTTCAACTTGGTAGATTTTAAGACTTTTTTAATCTTCACATTGACTTCAGCATGAGATCCTTTATCATGAGCTGATAAAATCTTTATTTTCAGCACTGTGACAACACAATTCCAAAAGTTAAAATGCACAGAATTTCATATCAGCTTTTAAAGTTTGAGCAACAACTTAAATAATGTGTATCAGAGTACAATGGAAAAGGGAATTAATGATGATGAGAATGTGAAAATTTGCTTTAAAAATCATTAGGCTCATTGATTTTTCCACTGGCTTCATCTCATTTATCTATATTCACTATACTCTTCTTTCATAGACGTTTTCAACTGCTACTCCTTCCCGTATCACTAAGCTAAGAGAATATCAGCATTTGCCTACTGCAAATATAATCTTAAACACATTCAGCTATCAAATCTAAATAGAAAGAAGATGTATAGGAAGTGAATTGTTATCCTGGTTTTTATTTAGATTGCGAGTATGTTATACTCTTCTGGCTGACTGTGTATAATGTTACAACAAAGAGCATAATGTTACTGCCAGAATATATTTCACATATTCTAAAGAGATCAAATAATATTATTGATTACTTAATCTTCTTCCCCTGGTGTAAAATGCAAGCTGACTGGGGTTAGGGAGGCTGTCTTTCTACATGATGGCAGAACTCCAGTATTCCATATGACTTGTAAGTCTACTATGCTCTTCCATCTATGAAATGGGTGTAGGTGGGGATTAAGTAGTGGAATAAGTTGTGGTGGGCAAGAAAGTAGACCTAAGGAACATTGGATGCAATGTTCTATATTATTAGGAAAGTTCTTCCTGGCTCATCTATATCTTGATGGAAAATTGTGTGTTATGAGAGAATCCTAAGCTGGCTGATCCCCTATCCTGAGAATATGTCAGGCAGCCATCTTTATAGTATTGCCAAATTTTAGACTTCTAAGGGGTCTTAATAGCTCATCTAGTCTTGTTTTATGCATGAGGAAGCAAGTCTTAAGAAATTGAATGAACTGCTCAAGTTTGCATGACTGGTTGGTTAGAGGTAGAGTTTTGACTAGAATCCCAATGAGATAATTGCATGAAGCATACATAGCATAGTGCCTCATATGTGACCAATGCTCAATAAATGTTCACTATTATTTTTCCACAAGACTGTGAGTTCAAAGAGAGCAGGGATTTTGTCTATTCATCACTGCAGCTCAATAAATATTTGCTAAAGGAATAATCAAACGGACCAAGTTTTTTTCCATTAAGCCAGAGAAAAGGGAGGGGAAAACCTTTTTTCCCCCAAGTCTGTAGGTGTATTGAATGGAATGAGACGAAGGAATTTCATTACATTAAGAGCATTCAAGTTCCTTTAAGCAGAAAATAATACAGATGTACTAAAAGATGTCAATGCAGGTATTTGTAAATTCAGTCAGAGAGCTACCAAAATCTATGCGCTAATGAAAACCAGTTGATATTTCCACTGAACTGACTGACTTTGGACTAAACTGTCATGTTTTTGCTTTAGATAGTAAATACCATTCCTTCTAACTGACTTTTCTTTATTGGGCACTATAGATTTCAAAAGTTTTCTTCTATTATTTAGCCAAGTTGGCAGGTGAAAGGAGGGAAATATGCTTGTAATTTTAGATAAAATTTATGAGGTTTTTAACATTTATTTTTTTGTCTTTTATGAGATTAAATACAATGTTATCAAGAACCTGAACACTTGGGTTTCAGAAATCATGACTTCAAGTTTTCTCTTCATTGTAATGCATATTTCAGGCTGTATGAATTATGGAACAATAAAAAGCCTCAGACACTAGTCAAGAATATGTTTGCAAGATAAGGTGTCTAATATGTTTGATAGTAAACATTAAGTCCTTCACAATTTGAGGATACCGACATCCTTTACTAAGGGCAGTGGCATTCTCCTTTGTCGATATGCTGTATTTTCCCGGTATTTGAAAGGTAGAGTTGCACAGAGTACACTGAGATGGCAGATAAGAGACTCAGGCAGATAGCTAGTCTCAGTGCCTCCCAAATACGTATCCTCTTCCTCCTCCCTACCATTTACTGAGCATCTGGTACGGGCAAGGGAATGTGCTTTGTGCTTTTCAAAAATCTCATTTCACTGGGAAAGTAGCATCGTCCCCATTTTACAGATGAGGAAATCTGGAAAGGTCGAGTTACCCACCCAATAAACCAGAAGGCAAACCCATGTAGGTCTGAGCCCAAACCTGAGCTCTTAATCACTGTGAAATACTGCTTTAAACTGATTTCTGCTTAGTATTACTACATGATAAACTGGCACAGGAAGCATTTAAGTGGCCAGAGACTTCCCTTTTATTTTTATTCACTTATTTTTTAAAATATTGATACATTATTTTTTAATTAAAAAAATTTTAATTGAAATATATTTGACATATACCATTGTGTAAATTTAAGGTGTTCAACATGTTAACTTGATACGTTTATATATTGTAATATGATTGCAGTTGTATCAATAATTCACGCCTCTATCATGTTATATAATTATCCTTTATTTGTGGTAGTTGATATAATTAAATTCTAGTTTCTTAGCAAGTTTGATGATTATAACACAATATTTTTGTCTATGTTCACTATACTGTGCATTAGATCTCTAGGTCCTATTTACGCCTGGTTGTAAGTTTGTGCCCTTAAATAACATCTATCTTATTCTCCCACCTCCCGTCCTCTAGTAACTACCATTTTACTCTCTGTTTTTATGAGTTTGACTTTTTTAGATTTCACATATAACTGATGTCATACAGTACTTGAGACTTCTCTTTTAGATTACTAAGACAAGAAGCATCCAGAAGAAAAGGTTATGTGTCATGTTTTTTTCTTTTTGTTGTTTGCCTCTTCTCCTTATAGTAGAACACCCTTGCCTTTGTTCTCCAAGCCTCCTACTCTCACCAGGTCATTCAACACCATCTCTATTAGGAAAATCTAGGTCAAGGCCAGAATACTGTGTCTGGTAGTATTATATAAGACTAGTGCTTTGATTTATTGAAATGTCATAGACTGTGCCTCCCATTTCCTAAGATACTCTTTGTGCTTAGTTTGAATAGATTCTCAGAAGCATTCAAGGACTTTAAACTCACCATATGAATATTTCATTCCACAGAATGCCTTGGAGTTTCCTAACACCTGTTCCTTACATTCACATTTACCTACAGAAAACAAATGAAAAATAGTGTCAGTTATTTAGAAACAAGAAAAAAAGAAACAGCAAGTAAATCCAGGTAGCATAACTCTTTAAAGCTTGAGTGAGTCATATAGCATAATCCATAAATGCTAAAAAATCATGAAAAGTCATTCAAAAGAAGTAGAATGACTTTCTGAATTGAATTAGTTATCATTCAATAAAGTACTGACCTCAGAGAAATGTAGAAACATAGAAACCATGATATAGTTTAATGTTTGTAATTGATGTTGTGCTAAATATGGTCTGGTATTAATACTGCCTGCTAATGGAAAAGAACAACTGAATGGATAATCTATAGAAAAGACACTTGGCTCTTTATAATTAATGCTCACCACAGCAAAAGTCAAATAAAATAATTGGGCAGTCCCTTGAAGGTAATGCTATCTAATTTAAAAGTATTTATTGAAGCACCTGTAATGTGCAGGACATAGTGCCATATACCATAGAGTATTTAAACATGAGCAAGATACAGTTCTTGCCTTAAGGCTTACAATTCAGTAAGGTAAATAAAGCAAGTGTATAAACAGTGATAAATATTCTAAGACAGGTACAATATGCTTGGGTAGGAGGGTCACATGTTTGGGAAGATGAGAAAATGGCTGAATAAGGATTTGAAATGGACTTTGAAGAATAACTAGGATAATTTCTCCCAACAGTTAAAATTATGTATTACAATAATTATGTGTGAGAGATTTGCCAGGCCCTGTGCCTACGTGTACATAGTCTATATATAGCATTCTCATATTTATGTATCTGTTTTCTTTCTAGACTGTGATCCTTGAGGACAGCGGTTACATCTTATTCATCTTCATATTCCTGGAGCCCAGAATGCATAGGATTTTCATTTTCACTTATTTAACAATTAGATATAATTTTGCCCCTTCCCCCACCCCTCCCCTCCTGCCCTCATGCATTGCATTTCATAGGCATTGAGTGGTAATAACAGCAAGTAACATTTACTGAGGAGCACTTACTATGTGCCAGGTACTATTTTAAGTACTTTACATTTATTTACTCAACTAAGATTCTAACAGGCAGAAATTGACAGGAATATAGAGATAAAAGAGTGAGTAAAGAAATGTGGAAGAGAAAGGACAAAGTGTGTTCACGGAAGAGTCAGTGGTTCTGTTTATCCCTAGCACAGACTGAGTTTTGAATAGTAGAAGGTATCATGGAAGACCTCAATTGATGTGGAATAAGGGCCTGAATTTAATTTATTAAAGGAAATTTTCAAGGCTATCAAATTAAGGAACTTACATGAATTAAAAAAATATATATATATGAAAATTTATCTGGCATTACCATATCAAAAGTATTGAAATGGAGGCAGGGACCAATTACAAGCTGGTAATGCTGATGACAACGATAACAGTGGCTAAACTGAGTGCCAATTATAAACCATAAACTATATAAGGAACTTTATCCATACGATCTCATTTAATATTTATAATAACCTTATGAGATAGGCATTACTAACAAATGTAAAAATGAAGGCTCAGAGAAGTGACTTAGCTTGTCCACGGCAGTGTAGCTAACAAGTAGAAAAGCCAGATTTTAAGCTTGAGTTGGGAGAATCTGAAGCCCCTGATCTTTCCACTATGCTGTCTCTCCAAATTGGATGGAATGTAGGTCTGAACTAGAGAGGTGGCTATGGGTGCAGAAAGGAAAAACTACCAAGGGATGCTGCAGAGTTAGGGTCTACAAATCTTGTCAATGGATTGGAGGAGAGCAAGGAAAGAGGAAGCATAAAAATGAACTTGACGTTTTCAGCCGAGGTGACAGGGGATGGTAGTATCATTAACAGTAATAGGGAAGTTAGAGGAAGGAGAGCATTTCAGGGGTGTATAATTTAAGGTTTCTGGTAGCAATTAATTGTCTAACAGTTATTGAAAGGATATGGAGTAGCTCATAGAAAAGAGAAAAAGCTGAAGAACCAGAACTCAGAAAGGACAAGAATCAGGAGAGCGCCAGAGATCTAGGAACTGCTGGGCAGTCCCTTATGGCTTTGCCATTGGAGTCATGAACTCTAATCACTTTCAGGCGTTGCCACTTTCAGCTCAAGATTTGAATTCCAGGGAGAGAACCTCTGATAGGCCTCTCCAAGACTGTATTAAATGCAAGGAGAGTGGTTCTCCAAAGAACAATTGGGTTGAGCTACCACAAAAATAGCAGAAAAGAAGGAGAAAATGGAACTGGTTAGGCAAAAATAACAGAGGTCTAGTACGAAGAGAATATAACGAATTAGAGATGTTGACAGAACATCCAGGTGGAAATGAGAATATGATTCCGGTGACACCAGGGTAGGTAGACATGGCAATGTGGAAAACAGTGACATATTGGCTCTGACTAAAGCTGATCTAGAAATCAGAGAGCGAGATTTACAAGGGGAAAGTCACCGTGGAATTAAACAGTGGGAAAGAGAAGTCAAAGGTGCTTAAAATTAGCAGCTGTGATTTGTTAAATAATGTTGCAATAATCTAAACGTTAGCAGAAAGGGTTACTCATACAGAGATTGCAGTAACCTAAGTCCTTTGATAATTCCACCAAAGCAGGAGAGTATGGTAACTACTATGTTATAAAACCCAATGGAACTCCGAATGGCATATATGATTCCTCAACACCTGCTCTTCTCTGTGGTCCTTCAGCCTACAAGAACAGACATAGGTCTGTTATTTGAAGATCTTTCTTTGGCTGCTTTCTAATACTCCTCTTTCACATGTTAAGAAATCAGACATTAAAATTTGTTTCTGAATGAATCTTTGTTGATCAGGCTTCAACCCAGATGTGTTTTCTTAAAAGAAATCTGGAAGGAGAGAAAGACCTATTTAGTTATACTGGGTTATTAAAATGTTAAAAAAAAAAAAAAAAGAGCATTGTTTACTGTTCTGTGGTACTAGTTAAAGTCAGTTTTGTTGTACAGGAAGTGAAATTTCACATCTGATGTTCTCTACCTTAAAAGAAGTGGTAGAAATTAAGGGTATCTTGTTGGTATAGTGTATCACACTCCTAGCTATGGAAACTTATGGTAGGTAAATACGTACGTAGGCACACATATTTGAGAATGAACCACAGTACTTAGGAAACTGATAATCACTTTTTTGTTGAAAAAAGGTGCCCAGGAGCACTGCTCTTTACCCAGTGGGAAAATCGCTGTTTAGCAGGAAACAGAACAATGTCTTCCTCAATCTGGAGCTCATCCAGATGAATTTCAGAAACTCTCTAGGGACATGATAGGCCTAACAGCTGTTGTAGACGTGAGAGTCTGGAGTCACGCTCATGCCAGCACATTATGCTCTTAATTGGTGTGCTGCCAGCTCCCTAGAAGCATTATGATTGCCTTAATGAATGTGCTGTGGTCCCAAAAACTTGATTACTGTAGATTTGGCTTAGCAGACAAAGTTGAAGAATTATAAAAATCATTGTGATAGAAAAAAACTTTCAAAAGTGGTTATTAAAGTTACAATCTAAGATTCAGACTATATAGCATTAAGATAAAAAAATTAATGGAAAATATTTTTCTCTTTTCCAAGTGCTAAAAAGATAAATATGACAACTTCATATTACCTTATCTTTCCCAACTTCTTTCCTGTTGTGAATTAAAATGAAACCATGAGGAAAATGATCATAAGATTATGTTAAGTGAAAAAACCATGATGCAGAATTACAAATACCAGTGTTTCTCAAATTTGCATTCTTGATTCGCAAGTTCTCTATGAGAATGTACTGAAATTGTGGTTTCTTACTCTGCTCTGGCCACACTGGCCTCCTTGCTGTTTCCTGAGTAAACCAGGCCTATTCCCACCTCAGGGCTTTTGTACTTGCTGTATCTTCCACCTAAACTCTGTTCCCTCTGTTATATGTATAGCTCCCTCCTTCATCCCCTGATCACCCTATTTAACAGTATGCCCCTCCCAAGCACCTCTTACCCACTTCTTGCTTTATTTCTCTATTATACTAAATAGCATTACATATACTAAATATTTTATTTATTTGTTTATTAGCTGTCTTCCTCTGCAAGAATGTAAGCTCCTCGGAGGCTGGCATTTTTGTCTGTTTTGTTCACTGACTACATTTACAGTACTGGCACACAGTATGGGTACTCAATAAATATTAGTTGGATGAATGAATGAATTTATAAAGAACTCCTTGAGAAAGATAAATACCATATGATTTCACTCATATGTGGAAGATAAAAATAGCAACAATAACAACAAACGTGTAGATATAGAGAACAGGTTGGTGGTTACCAGGGAGAAGGGAGCTGGGGGAAGGGTGAAAGGGGTAAAGGGGCATATGTGTACAGTGACAGATGACATGTGTACATCATATTTGGTGGAGAATGTGGTGTAGTGTGTGCAGAAGTCAAAATATAATGATGTACACCTGAAATTTATATAATGTTACAAACCAATGTTACCTCAATACAAAAATTATGTGAAATAATATACTGCAGAAATAAATAAATAAATAATAAATAAAGGACTCCCACAAATTAGTAAAAAATTACAAATAGGAAATTCACAGAAAAGGAAACCTGCATGGCCAAAAAACCATGAAAAGTTACTAAACCTGTTAGCAATCAGGAAAATGCAATTTAAAATGGTAAGATCCCATTTCACACCCACAGACTGGCAAAAATTGAGAGGTTTGATAACGTTAATTTTGGAAGTCTAATGAATATTAAATGAGTTAATGAGTTTGTGCCTGAGTTAATGAATTAGAATAGTGCTTGGCCCCTTGTATTTTCCTGTATAAAAATTTGTTAAATAAATGCAGAGTATTAGTGAGAATGTGGAGCAACAAGATATCATACTTCGCTGGTGGAATGCAAATCTATACAACCACTTCAGGGAGCTATTTGGCAATATGTGGTAAAGTAGACAGTAAGCACTCCCGTGACCCAGCAACGTCTAGGTTGTACTGTAGAACAGAGGTCAGCAAACATTTTCTATAAAGGGACAAATGATAAACGTTTTAGGCTTTATGGGCCAAGAGGCAAAATTAAAGATATTATGCAGGCATTTATATAACCATTTAAAGTGTTACCATTTAAACCTTAAAGCAGGTAGTTTATAGCCTATTGTAAAACAGATGTCAGGCCAGATGTGGCCTGAGGGCTGTATCTCGCCAGCCCCGCTCTAGTAAAACTCCTTCTCAAGTGCACAAAGTCACATATAAGAGAATAGTTGTGGTAGCATTATAGATAATAATGGAAAACTGGAAATTGGAAATACCCTAAATGGCAAAAAATGAGACATTAAAAAGTGGTATATTCATGTAATAGAATGAATAAATCTCAAAAAACATACATATTGAAGTCAAAAAAGTTTTAAAAGGATACGTAAGTTACTATGTGCATGAACTTTTAAAAACTTTATATACATATATACATACATACACACACATATACACACACACGCACACACACACATATATATATATATATATATATACATAGCCAGCCCTGATGGTCTAGTGGTTAAGATTCAGGGCTCTCACCACCATGGCCTGGGTTTGTTTCCTGGTCAGGGAACCACAACATCCATCCTTTGATTGTCATAGTGTGGCAGCTGTGTGTTGCTGTGATGCTGAAAGCTATGCCACCGGTATTTCAAATACCAGCAGGGACACCCATGGTGGACAGGTTTCAGTGGAGCTTCCAGGCTAAGACAGACTAGGAAGAAGGACCTGGCCACCCACTGCTGAAAAAATTGGTCATGAAAACCCTAGGAATGGCTGTGGAGCACTGTCTGATATTATGCCAGAAGGTGAAAGGATGGCACAAAAAGACAGAGCAGGGTTCCACTCTGCTACTCACAGCATAACTAGGAGTTGGAATCAACTCGACAGCACTACCAACTATATATATATGTATATAACTATATGTGTGTGTATATATATATATGTAGTAACTTAGTAAAACCATGAAAGTGAATGATAAACACCAAAATTCAGGTTAGTGGTTATTCAGTGGACTAAGAGAAGCTAGTGGGTTTGTAGATTGGTACACCAGGGGCTTCAAATCTATCTGTAACATTTTATAATTTAAATGAAAATATGAAACAATTATAGCAAAATGGACGATCTGATAACACTAGAAGGTGTATATATAGGTGTTCATGTAACATTTTGGCATTTGTAATGTTTAATAATAAAAAAATATTTTTTAACTTATTTTAATTTGGATTATTTGGTGAGCAGTTTACAAGCAAACGGTGACACAGACTTCATGCCCACCTTTGTGTTTGTGTTAAGGAGCTAAATAGAGCTACTTGATTTTCTATGAGAAAAGAACAGAGGCAAGATAACACAAAAATTATGTATTCGCACCAATATCACAGCACGCTCTTCAAATGAAGCAGCAGATAAACATCACAGGAAAGCCGAGTCCGAGCAGACAGTGGTATAGGCTCGGTAAACTCAAAGAATCACATTTATGTAATGAACAATGTTTGGCTTCAGTAAAAATCGTTTTTCATATTCAATTAATATTGTTAACTTGAATTTTATTCGTTTTATTTGGCTTATATTTAGTTAGTAAAATTATTTTTGTTTTCTAGTTGTAAAAAAGCTATAAACATAAGGAGTTCACAGGCTAGCTTTTGCTTTGCACATACGAAGTTACACTAGGTCTGTAACAATATTTTTCCTTTAAATGGATCTGTACATTTCCAAACCTGATATATTCGGCTCTCAACTGTGTCAAACAGTACATTTTAGACAGAGGGAAACCCACCAAAGTTTTAACAGTGGGCTAATGAGATTTGGGTATTTTTTTTAGTAGAATGTTTTGCATTTTCCGGATTTTCTATACTAATTACATATGTCACTCTAAAAATCAGAAAATAAACAAAAGCTTGTTAAAATAAGCTTTAGCTATATTTACTAGTTTTACACTTATGGGGGTCACCACTTTATTAACTTCAGAACTAAAGAGTTTCCCTTAACGGATCCAAAAGCTGTTCTCTGCTTTGTGATGAATCACTGTTGCTCAAGACCAGACGTGGAACTATGCTCCCCAGTTATATCTATTGTCTCACCTGAATGTCGAAGTGCAGAGAATCCTTGCTCATCCTCCCACTCCCAGGTTGGTTCGCTCTTATTGTGCGTGGAATGGAAGTCAGGAATTTCATGATACCACTCTATGTCTGTGCTGCTAATAAAATAGAAAATGATGAAGAACTTATTAAGGAATTTCTTAGAACTTAAACGACATGAATATATTTATAGAAATTTAAACCTTATCAGCTACCTTCCCATCCTTTCACTTTTCAGAGATGAGTAGTGTTTTAAAAGGCTATTGTTAAGAAGAATAATTTATTTTACAAAATGAACTAGACTGTCCCTAGAACCTTATGAGAACAAATTACTTGACTCGCGATTTGGCAAAAACTCTTTAAAGAAATATGAATACATCTTTGCTCCACTAAGGGCAAGCAAGATTTTCCAAATCACTACCAGATCTCCAAAAGAATCCGAAAGACACAAAGATGAGAGCAAGAGCCGTGTGCGTTCACCTGCTGATGCAGTCTCCTGTGAGAGGGTCGCAGCTCCCTGCACAGTCACAAGGCCTGCAGCCATAGTCTCCGAAGCCCCAGTATCCCACCATACACCTGTCACAGTGTGGCCCTGCCACCCCAGGCTTGCAAGGGCAGTCACCATTGCTGGGGTCACAGAACGTCACTGAGCTGAAAGGAAGGACAGCTGATCCAACTGGATGACAGGAACACACTACAACAGAGAGGACACATAGGGACTGATGAGTGACTGGGTTATCCGTGCAGATTAGGCCCAGCAATCCCAAGATGGCTTCCCTCCACCACACAGCATATCTCTGAGGCTCCTCCTTTAGCCAGTTGATGTATGCTCAGAGAACAAAAGCTAACTTAATCACAGATAAGAAGATAGAATTTCTTCTAGCTTCTTCAAAACGAACCACATAATTTATCCTAAAATTCAAGGCATTAAATACTAATGGCTTTTGTTTGGGGTGGTGAGAATGAACCAGCAAAGAAGACGAAAAAAGGAGCAGTTAGTGAGAAAGGAAAAGAATCATGACAGTATGGTGTTCTGGAAGCTAAACAAAGAGTTCAAGGAGGTGGGCGACATTAACTGTGTCAAATACTATAGATGCAAGAAGATGAGGAACGGGAATGGATGCTGGCATTTGACAGCATGAAGGCCGTTGTAGGAACAGTTTCAGTGCAATAGTGAGTGCAAACCTAACTGAAGAGGACTCAGGAGAGAACGGGAGCAGAGGAATTTGAGCACGAGAACAGACAGCTCGTGTGAGGAGCTTTCTACAAGGGCACAGAAATATGGCGGTAGCTAAAACTGAGTGGGGATAGGAATTCAAGGGAAGGTTTGAGTTTTTGTTTGTTTTAAGATGGAAGAAATTACAGTATGTTTGATGTTGATGTCGATGGGAATCATCCAGTAGAAAGAGAAAAATTGACGACCAAAAGAGAGGTGGAAGAATGGTTAGAGGGACACTTGAAAATACTTGAGAGGGAAGAAGCGGTGGGATCTGGTGAAGAAGAGATGTTGGCCTTGGGTAGAAGCGTGATCAGTTCATAATAACAGGGTGAAAGGCAGAGCATATGGACATCGATGCAGGTAAGTGGATAAACGCAGTAGTGGGAGCTGGCAGGATTTTTCTTCTGATTGCTTGTATTTTCTGGATGAAGTAGGAAGCATGAATCATCAGGTGAAAGAGATGATGAAGAGTGGAAGTGGGAGAGTGAATGAGAGACTTAAAAGTCAAATATAATAGCCAGACAGCATAAAGGCCACATTTGAGGTTAGCAGTCATGAATTTATAGTGACACCAGACAAAATGGCTGGTTGTTTCTCCGGTCCTATACAGCTGACAGGGTTCGAGTTTGGTATAGGAAGAAAGCTGGATTGAATTTGCATGGTGCTTTGGATTGAATGTTTGTGTTCCTCCAAAATTCATATGTTGAAGCCCAATCCCCTATGTGACGGTATTTAGAGGAGGGGCCTTTGGGAGGTTTGGAGGCAGTCTTGGGGGTGGAGCCCCCATGATGAGACCGGTGCCCTTTGAGAGGATGAAGAGCTCAGAGCTCTCTTCTCTGTGAAAGATGTGAGGCTACACAAGAAGCTGGCAGTCTGCGATCCACGAGAGAGCTCTCACCAGAACCCAACCATGCTGGCGCCATGATCTCAGACTTCCAGCTTCCACAGCGAGAAAGAAATGTTCATTGTTTAAGCCACCCCGTCTATGGAATTTTGTTAAAATAGCCTGAATGGAGTAAGACACATGGGGTTAAATCTGGCTCCTCAGACTAAGCTAATAATCAGTCATTTCTACAAGTCCTTGCTATTAATCAAGATTCTTTCCCCTCAGCCCTCTCCCAATTCCCTCAATGGCCCGCCGCTCACAGTTTGACAACCCCCAACACTTCCTTTGCTCCTGGGGATAGCAAAAATAGCTGAAGAAAGTAAAAAAAAATGCTTACTGGGTTCAACACAAATTCGTGTATCCTAACCTTTGGGTCCTGTAACTGACGCTCATTAACCACATTTATTCAATTTTTCCTTGCCTTTTTTGTTTATTTAATAAAATTCCTCACAGTGGGTGTCCCCAAATTTCCCTAGGCTTTTTAATTCATCCTAACCACTTGGTCTGAACATTCTAATTCACTAATAAGGTCCTCTGGGTAATCTTTTCTCCACCTAAAAATCTCTTTATCTTCATCTGTCTACTCTTCTCTGAGAATCAGGTGAAAAATCCTAGGAGAGATCTTGCTGCACAGTCTTCTCACTAGCTCTGTGATCTTGCACAAGAAATTTAACATTCCTGAACCTTGGTTTCTTCAGTGGGGTATCTGTATCTCTTGGAGACTTCTTGAGGATAAAATTATTTAAATTAAATTACTTCAGCAAGGTACATAGCACAGAGTCTGACACCTAGTAGGCCAATTCTTCCTGCTAAGAATTCTCAACTAATATACTAGATCCTACTCCCTCCTTTATCTCTTGGAAACTTCTTTTATTGATTATTTTCTTTGTCACTAAAATCTCAATTTGGCTTCAAATCTCAACTACTGACTGACTGTGTGACTTTTGGCAAGATACCTAACTTCTCGTTATCTCAGTTTTCTTGTCTGTAAAATGGAAATGAGAACAATATCTACCCTCAGACACATGTTGTAAGGATGAAAGGCGATCATGTATGTAAGCACTTAGTGTAGTGTCTGGCACGTGGTTAATTAATAGTGAATGAACTAATGAATCCAATAAATAATTCTTGTAGAGGTGGCGGATCTATGCTTGAATAAGTAATGGCGCCGGCCTCAAGGAACTCATAGTCTTGTTGGGAAACAGAGCAATAAACAGAAAATTTCCCTACACTGTGATAGGTTCTCTAACAGAGGTCTGTGGAAAGTGCTATGGGAGCAGAGGAAGGGCACACAGGCTGAGGGAATCATGGGGTCCACAAGGGACGGGTCTTTTAGACATCTGAGCCAATCCTGAAAGAGGAGTAGGGGTCTGCAAGTTGAAAAAGAAAATGGAGAGTTGCTTATTCCAGCCAAGGCTTTACATACTCTCCCCCTTGCATTTCTTTTAAATAATTAAAAAAAAATTTAATTGTGGTAAAAAATTCTTATCATAAAATGTACCACCTTAACCATTTTTAAGTGTATAGTTCATCCCCATTGCATTTTATGTTTCTGCATTATATGTGAAAGCTCTTACTGCTTCCCCAAAATGTGAATCTCTTTCACGCCTCAGTGCCCCTGGCTCTGCCTGCATTGTCTTTGCTTGCCTTGTCCATCTGGACCCTGACACGCTTCCTTGCCCCACTGCCTCCAAACAGTTAACCACTCTCTCCTCTATGCTGCCTCTGTTCTTTGTATATATTTCCATTTTATGTGTTCACAGTACATCATTCTTATTTGTTTATATGCTTGTCTCCCTTACTACTAGACTCTGAACTCATTGACCGAAGGATCTTTATCTTCTTATTTTTGTTTTCTAGGCCTCAGAACAGTGTCTGGTACATAGTAGATGCCCAAATAAGCATTTGTGAAATTGACCTGAAGGACATTCCAGGCTGTGGGCATCACATGTGAAAGGGCAGGGCCTATTTGGGGAATGTGAGAAGTCGAGTGTGTCTGGAGTGCACATTGAGTGGAAAGGAGCTGAAGGAAAAGAAGAAGAAGAAAAAACTGTAGAGTTAGGTTTGGAGCCAGATTATGGAACGGCCTAACCCAAGAAGCTGAATTTTGCCTTATGGCCATAAAGAACTATAAGAAGTAAAACTTGGAAAAAAAAAAAAAGCAGAATTATGAGTTGGCTATAATTTAATTTTGCTAGATAGTTTGGTGGTATTGTGTGAAACAGACTAGAGTAAGGAAGGACTGGTGGCAGGGAAACCAAAGAAACGAGAGAGAACAAGGAACTGGACTAAGATGGTAGATGTAAGAATGGCAGGAAAGGTTGGATTTTTTTTTTTTTAGTTTGAATTGATAGGATTTGGAGCCCTCTGGATGAGGAGGAAGAAGGCATGTTGAGGGACCAACAGAAACTGAGTAAGCTTTTAAGGTTTCTAGTTTATGATGGTGACTAGTGAGATTATTTACAAAGATTTAGAATATAGGCCTAGGGCAGGTTGGGATAGGTAGATCCATGTCAGGAGCGGAGATAGGGAAGCGAGGGAGAAGAGAATGAGGTCAGGGTTAGACATGTTAAGTTTGAGATGCCTGAAGGATACACTATTAAGCTATAATAGGCAACCAGAAATAATAATCTGAAGTGTAGGAGAAAAGTTGGGGCCAGAAATATAATTTTGAGAGTTGTCAGCAGATGGGCATGGAAACCAGGAGGCTAGAGGAGACTTCCCAGGGCCAGTGTGTAGAGTAAGAAGACGACCAAGGATGGAATGTTGGAGAACATCCATACAGTCCAGGAAATTAGAGGAGCAGTAACTAACTTGTGAAGCAGATAAGGACCAGATAGAGGGGGAGGAGAAGGATCAAGAAGGTGTTGTTATGGAAACCAAAGGATGAGAAAGTTTCCAGTGGTTAACACTGTCAAACAACGCAGAATGAGCAAGCAACATAAGATTGATAACAGGCCAGTAACGCTGTCCATCAGAGGTCATTGGTGACTTTTGTGAGAACAGGAGCTGAAGAAGTAGAGGCATAGATGGTAGACATCTACTCTGTTTACATCTCTTTAACATTTTTTTTAACCAATAATCATTAGAACAGTGGTTCTCAAACCAGCAGAAATGTGAGAAGTTTGCAAAAATTCCTTGCATCTTACATCTGTAAAACACTCCCTTCCTCGCCTCCTTCATGCTCTTCACGGTTGAGAACCACTACAGGAAGGGCAAGGAATGTTACTTTTTTTGCAAAAGGCATGAATTATTTTCTTCAGAAGAATATTATATTCATTCATTTATTTACTTACTCAAAAAATGTTAGTTAATAATAATAATTCTAGTATTTATGAAGCATTTGTAGTTTACAAAGCACAATCACACCTTAGTCAAAGATTTAAGGTCCCTCATCCTACAACCCTAGCCTAACTTTTCCAGTCTTCCCTCTCGTTACTCTCTTGCATATAGCCCTTACTCTAAGTAAATGGAACTCATCTTTCCTGTTTCTGTACCTTTATTAATGTCAATAGAGAAATCCTTCCTCCTACATCTATCTTTCAAAATTCTACACATCCTTTAAGATCTATTCACGTGTCACCCCTAA